AAAAGGTGAAAATCCAACAAACTGAAACAAGACAATGGTAAAGCAGGCAGCTGACACCACCCAGAGCTAGACATTTATGGAGCAGACATCTCTTGTGATAGTACCTGGCCATTCTAAAGTGTTTTTTTTAATCTTAGGAGCATATATTTGGTCATTAATTTCACCAGGGAAAGGGACCAACATCATCATCAAGTGAAAAGAAAATGCTTATAGAGAAGGTCTGTGTTCACAACACCAGCGTGTGCCTTCAAGGAAGGAGTACATTAAGATTTTTCTGGTGCTTATAATAGTATTTATTTTAGAAAACAGGGGTCCCCTCGGGCCCGGGGTCCCCAGGTCCCTGCAGCAGGTCCCGCAGCCTGGCGCGCCCTCCGCTGGCACCAATCGGAAGTGCAGCACATTCTGCCCCTCTGGGAACTGCATCTTATCAACAGCAGCATCACCTCTGTTGGTTAAACAGTCATTCAAGTACATACTGGTGAATGAAATTGAATTCATTTCTACTAATAATATTTTTGGAAATCTTCCATTCATTTCCCATGATGCTCCAAACCTTATTTTAAGCTGTTTTCGGAATATTTTGATGCACACACACTAGTCCTGAAAGAGGTGGCTCAGCCTCAAGAGTAACACCAGCAGAAGGCACATGTTGCTTCTGATAGGCACCACTCATATTAGAGGTGAGGGCAGCTGCAACCTTTCACAGTGATATATCAATATACCTGTATTGCCCCAAGATTGGGACCTTCCCACCTGAATATTGGAAATAGAGTAACACAGGTTACGGTTAGCCTCTGCAATCTAGAGTGGTAGTCTTGAACTGACTTGATTTTCAAGGACACTCCTTGGGGAACACCAACACTGACGGTGGCTCCTAAAATGCTGTGCCTGGAAATCTTCCTCTCTGCTCCATATTCCACTATGGTCCCAAAGAAACCTGCCCTAGAACGACAGAACCAAAAACTGGTAAGACAGGGAAGACTCTCAAATTTCTCTTTACTGAATCCTGTAATTCCCCAACAAGTAAAACATGGCAATACATCTGTGTGCAGCTGGTGCTGGCTGCTGGAAGATCTCACCTTGTCTATCTACAAGCCTTTTCAGCTTGTCAAGTAGTAAACAGACAACAAGAACTTCTGGCTTTCTTATTGGTGATCACAAAGAGATAACACATACAAGTATTTTAAGTCGCACTTATCTGAAGAGGCACACAGAGCTGCTAAGCCTCCAAAATATTCACTTCAGCATTTACCAGATTTAATTAATGAAAAGTAGATTCCCAAAGACCACAGAAGCATTTGATTTGCATGGAACCTGGAGGTCTACAACAGCAGGAGGGGAGAGATTCTTCAGGCTCTGAGCAACGTGAGTTTCCTCTTGCACACTTACTTGAGAGAACCTTTCACTCGTGTTTGATCTTCATCCTGAAACTTATGCTGATAACTGACCATCATGAAAGAATGAGGAATTCCCAGCTGAAATACAAAGAGGCACAAATGTATGAAAACCTACCCTCGGCCACCACTGAACGTTCCCCCAAATTTCCTTTCTTATCCTTTAAGTGGCACAGAAAATACAGCAATGCCTGTCACCTCCTCATAACAGCCTGCAATCTCTGCAGCCTGTGTTGTGCATCCTGATCCTAATCTGAGCTGATCCACATTAGACAGGACAACGTTGGGTGCAAAGTGTTGTGCTCTGCCAAGTGCAGCTGATTACCTATGGTAAATGTTCATACAGAACAGTACCAACTGCTCCATTATCCTCTAGACCCAGCCCAAAATACTGCTGGGATGGAAAAGCTGAGTCACTTCTCTGCCAGGGAGGGGTATCACTGTCCAACAGGCCTCACCTGTAACGCCATGGTGAAATGGCTGGTTTTTGTATCCCGGACAATACTGGTGTTCATGGCTGACTGGATGCCCCACCGCCACTGCAAGTAGCCCATCGTGTTCTTGTCGAGGTTGCGGGCTAGGACCGTGGTGAGGCCTGGGCGGATCCCACGGGATGAAAACTGCAGGGCACAGTTTGTAGTGATGAAACTAGGATAAATGAGGAAAGCCTCGTCAGTGATAAAACACAGGCTCCCAGATACAAGCATTGTGATCAGAACTAAAGCACGACCTTAAGTCTAAAGAAGAAATACCTTATTCTGTAGGACAGAAAACAAATCCAGAATTAACATGGAAGGGAATTCAAGCTGTTTAGTTCCTTAGTGGGGAATATTAACCATCAGATGATTTGTCTAATACTTACCATCTTGGTGTAAGATTCCGGAATATCTTCAGACCAAAGAGAGGTCCCTGAAGGTCTCCTGCTCCAAACTCCAACTGTTTAAACACACAATGCCAAATTGTTAGAAGAAAACATCCTTTACAACAAAGTACTTCAGAAACATCATGGACATCACAGGCATTTTACACATCTGAGGAACATTTACCACGTGTTTCAGCATTTTCTCTTTTCTGCTAGCTTTGCATTCAGTGTAAGAGGTGTCTCACTGAGCAGGGTCCTCATGAGTAAAACAAAGCCAGTTTTGTAATGCTACAGGCTACTTCTACTGGCACTTGCTCTGGTTGCTCCGGTGAAAATGGAGAAAACAGCCCCACAACAGCAAACAGTTTGGCTGCTGCCCTCTGAGGATGAGAGTCCTTCTCAGGACAGTCTCACAGTACTGTTGTCAGCAGTTCTGCTGCTGCACCATCTCAGTGTCTGCAAAACAGATCTGCTGCTTCGGCCACTACTCTGGGTGACTTCCAGGGCTGCTATTCAATGTTTATTTGGTGCTGTTCAGTCTCATTAACAGCAGCAGTTCTTAGACCTGACACTTATCATGAATCACATCTGCCTGGGAGCCAAACTATCTCCCCCAACTTCTTCCCTTGTGATCAGAGCAGTTTTTGAAGTGAGGGTAAACTATCAGGCTGCCCTAAGGTGCATGTTCACAGCTTCCAGAAGGCACCCAGGAGCCTTCACACAGTGAAATGAGAAAGGCTCTGGAGACAACAGGTTACAATTCTGTCAGCATAAGTGAAATCCAAAATGCACAGCCAAATGGAAAGAGGAAATTGTTAAGAAAACCAAAGATTTGCCTTCTCCTTTTCTCAAATTCCTTTGAGAATTCCTTTTTCTACATTCTACACAACATAGAAAATGAGAGATGAAACAGAGCTGAAGTTCCCTAAAGAAAATAAACACAAGGTGACTAATTAAAGCAGCCTGAAATAGAGTGGATGTTAAAATGCCTAACAGCTAGCACTCTTACCTCTCCCCATCCCTTGGCAGATGTCACTCGTCTCAGAGCAAGATTAATCGATCCACCTCCATTCCCATTCTGGGTGGAAAGGTTACCAGACAGTATTGCTGTGTCCGTGGCAGTCAGTGGTGCCTGAAAAAGGAATGTACTGTTACCAATTACTCTGATCCAGATTCACACATTTAATGCATCTTCTGCAAGGACATCATCACAACTGCAGAGACTATAAGCACAGAGACAGGCAGCACTCCAGTTGACTCCTTGCCATCCACCAAGCCCAGGTGTTTGAACCAGACATGGCCACACTTGGTGTAAATTTTGTAGTCAAAGATCAAGTATGTCAAAAAGTGCGATAATTCTTACAGGAACAGACATGTGTGATGCCTTTAATGTACCACCCTGAAGTGCTGACCCCAAGCTGCAAACACTTCTAACCTCATTAGCAGACTAAATTTCTTCAACTCCTTGGAACAGAGGGAACACTCCCCCTTCTTTTCCTTACCCACATCCTCAAAACTGGGCACTGTTTGTCTTCATACATGAAACACTCCATGTTCAGTGAGAATTAGATACCTGTGTTCACCAGGACTGAGCCTCCCCACGAGCAGGAAGGCAGGACCGCTGTAGCCTACAAACCAGTCACACAAACGTATGCTGCACAGGCAACTCGCGGTCCTGCTGGAACTGAGCTTCCTCCTCCCACCCACACCTTCCATAAATCAAGATGAGAACCCCCTGAGCTGTGTTTCATTTTCTGTTGCCTCGCACTGCAGCGCCTCATTAAGCTCAGGCCCTGCTCCTCACCTCAATGGACTGGGATATGTGCATTTTGTTTATCTCGATCTGGGGAAAGCTGCTCCCGGGCACATCTTCGTATTCTTCGTCGTAGCGATCAAAGAGGTCAGTGGCATCTATTCCAACACTAATTGTTCCCTGAGGAGTGACAAGGGAAACAAGTACTCAGCATTAACAAATGTCCAGTATACACAGGCCAAATGGCCAAGGCATCCTTGTAAATGATTACATCTTCTGGCAGTTTTTTCTTGTTCTGCAATTACCTTTTCCACTCTAAAATGCATTTCTTACACATTCAAGACAAACAAAAATTAATGATCACAAACAGCAATATAAATCATAAAATAAACTGGATAAAAGACAGTTTTTTAGCAG